TATTTTAGGTGGGCCTTTTTTGAAGGACTACCTCACCATTCAAAGTGTTGCAGCTTCCTCCATTGTCACACTTTATTTTACAGACCTTGGCCAACAAGTCCGTTGGATCACAGTAGGTGTCCATTTGAAATGCAATATACATTTTCAACATTTTACTTTGAATAATTTGATGCCAGACACTATCTTTCCAGTGAATTCATAGTGAAACAAAATACTGTACTGGATAATATTTTTAATTTTCTATGTTTACTATGATCACTGGTCAAAATTATATGCAAGAATTGAAGCAATAGAAATCAACAGTTGAAAAAAAAGAAGATAAATTCCTTCTTTGTGTCAATCCACTCTATGACTGAAGATTTCATCTCTGCTTTTCCTATGTTTTGTTAGTTAAATGATATCTTTTTACCTTTTTCTTCTAGTACACTAGGGATATCAAAGAACCTCTTGACATTAGAAAGAGGTGGGATAGAATACATAGTAAAAAACAAGGTTCTCAAGCACAAGAAAAAAATTTTGGAAACTCTGAGAGTGAGGAAGTCTCTATTTTGAATGCATTTTCAATGCATCTGAATCCAGTGGTATTAGAAGAATGAGGACTACATTAAAAGATATGGAGGTCTAAGAGGTAGTGAAAATACCTGATACTAGTTTACAAGTATTGAATCACTCAATAATTTATTCCATTATTGAGTACTAAAATAAATCAATGGAATAGCTTCAGCAGCAAGTGGAAATATTATATGATATTTAATAACTGAGGTAATGAGTTAATCTAATAAATAAATTCAACATCAATATACAAAGAATAGTACATTCTATTTCTTTCAATTAAATGAAACTTCTTTTTTGTGTATTTTTTAAACTATGAATTTTTCCCATTACGATCCATGATATATTTATGATGATCAGTTTTAATACTTTCAATTCAAAATGGTTTTCTTTCTGCCAGTATTAACATTATCATTCATAGTGCTTTGAGCTTCTTCTTTGCAGTTAAACAACCAATTTTAAAAATTATTACAAGGGCTGGCTTATTTATACACTAGTACTTAATTCTCTAAAACAAATT